AAAAGAAATTAAAAAAATATGCACACAAGCAAAAATGACTCGAAATTGATGGTGCCAATTTGACAAAGAACTAAACAGAGCTTTAGAAGTGCAAACATAATTGTTGAAATTAAACACTCAAAGGAGGACTAAAATTACAAAATTAATGAGCAGGAACAGAGGGCTGAAAAAATTACCCAGAATACAACACTGCAAGATGAGAAAGTTAAAAATGAGAAGGTCTAACATATGTCTAATTGAAGTTTCAGAAAGAGAGAATTAAGGAGGTAGAGAAGAGATACTGGAATTCAGAGACTCACTAAGACATTTTATGAAATCTATAAACTCTCTAAAAATTGATAGGAGGCATACATTGATTGAAAGAATTGATCAAAGACACCAATGTATAGATAAAAAACATAGCTGTGTTTGGCTTATAGTAGATGTTTGGAGACTTGTTTCTTCCTCATTCGGTAAGAGAGAGCTTTTTCTCTCCATCTCCTTCTAGAATTCTTAGGAAGTGCTTCCACACTTCTTCGGTGCTTCCATGTCCGCGCTTACTTCCCACCATGAGTCAATGTTGACTCAAAGTAACCCTATAGGACAGGGTGAACTGCCCCCTTTGGAGTTTCTGCCATTGTAACCCCCATCTTCCTGTTGAGGAGTGGCTGGTGGTTTTGAACTGCCGAACTTGTAGATTGCAGCCCAATGGGTAATCACTACGCCACTAGGGCTCTTGCTCCATGTCCCGTAGATCTGAGTAATTCAGCTGCCCTGAAGAGAATCTGATGGAGTGGTGGAGGGTGGGAGTCCTCTCCTGGGTGGCCTTGACTCGGGCTGGCGGGTTACAGCTCTAGGCCAGGCCCTCCAGCCCTAAGTGTTGGCCTGTGTGTGGCAGAGTGAGCTCAGCGATGGCATCGCAATGTTGGTGGCAGGCAACGACCGTGTGCAAGCAGTGATCACACAGATGGAGGAGGTGTGCCAGACCATAGAGGTGAGCATCTGCCCTGAAGGGGGAGGGTGTGGCCACTGGTTGACCTGGAAACCCAGAGCTCCCAAGAGAACTGTGCTTCCCTACCCTTATCTAACCCCCACTGGCTAGAGAGTTCCTGGGTCCTTCGAAATGTACCACCGCACAGGTAAAGGGATGTCCTTAGCCCCCGCGTCTAGATTTGAATTCCAACTCGCTAACACTATGACTTTAGTATAGTTACTAAACTTTTCTTTGATTTTGTGTTGTGGGTTTTTGCTATATAAAAGAGTGATATCGCTGTTTTATCTTCCTCATTGGTTATTCATGAGAATGCTTAGCGAAGCTACTTGTTAAAAGAGTGTTGCAATCAACTAACTTGATCTCATGGCCATACCGCTACTCCACCCAACATAATGAACATTATTTTCCAGCACACGTAGAATTCTCCAGAATATGTTAGGCCACAAAGCAAACCTCAATACATTTTAACACATCAAAATACTATGAGGTATACTTTCAGATCACAGTGCTATAAAATTAGAAATACACAATAGGAAGATCAAGGAAAAAACCAAAAATGGAAATTGAATAACACCCTGTTGAGAAACTGCTGGGTAATAAATGAAAAAAATTTTAAATGAAATAAGAAAGCTCTCTGAATCAAACGAGAATGAAAACACAACTTACGAAAACCTTAGGGACACAGCAAAAGCAGTGCTCAGAGGATACTGTACAGTGATAAATGCACATGTCAAAAAAGAACCAAAATGAACACCCTAGTCAGAGTCTCCAACAATTAGCAACATACCCTTACAAATCACCAGAAGAAATATTGAAGACTAGAAGAAAAAAAAAGTTGGAACAATGACTCAGATAGTAGTGGTAAATCTACGGTAAACTTCCTGAACATGCTTGTTGGCTGTACTGTGCTTACATAGGAAAATGTCTTTGTTCTTAGGAAATAATTAAGTATTTAGGAACAAAGAACATAATATCTAGAACTTACTCTCAAATGGTTCAGGAAAAAGCTACACAAATAAGTCGGCTTGTCATGGGAAAATGGAGAGGTTGGAGCCGGAGGCACAGAAGGAGATAAAGCTCAATCAGGAATGAGAAGTATAGAGAGGCTTTATTAAGGAGAGGGAAAACTCCGGGACAGAGGAGCTCCACAACCCAACCCAACGAGTTAGCTCAGGGAAGTCGCAGTTTGTCGGTGAGGCGGTGGGAGATTTATAGGGCTGGAGCTGAGGAAGTATACGTTGACAGAAGGAAGGGAGATTTTTATGGCTTGCAGCTGCAAGGCCTTGAGTCAGGATGCGACCCATGGGAAGTCATCTTGTTTGCAAACCTGCTCTCTGGAGTTCTGGGAAAGGGGCTCTACAAACCCCGGCTGGAGAGATAAGCTCTTTGGAGTGTTGGGACAGGAGTTGCATAGTTCAATAGGCCATCCATCCTCCCGAGAGGCTGGGAATGGCGGCTTTGAAGTTTCATCTTCCTGAGGAGCCAGAGATAAGGTGGGGGCTGCCCGGTGGTCCGGACCGTTCCAAACAAAAATGAAGTTAAGAGATGGTGGAATTTTCCACGAACTCCCCCCGTCCCCCCATGAACCTTATGAAGGCTGCAGATGTGGTAAACCGTAAACAACTGGCTAATCTGAGTAAAGTTCATATGGGAGGTCTTCAAACTTTTCCGTAAGGTTGAGATGAATTCGAAAGAAAGGTTTAAAAAATTGTTTTTCGATATTGTTATGACTGGAAACCAGCAACCCCTGGTTGGAGTCCGGGCTCTACCACTGATGTGGTATGATCTCTTCTCTGTGACTTCCACTAAGTGGGGAGCTGGACAGTCAAGGAAGGGTCCCCCACCTTCTGTGGGCTCTCAACCACATCTCCCTTACCCCTTGCTCTCCATGATCCAGGACAACAGTCGGCGGCAGAAGCAGTTGCTAAACCAGAGGTTTGAGACCCTGTGTGCCGTTCTGGAGGAGCGCAAGGGCGAGTTGCTGCAGGCGCTGGCCCGGGAGCAGGAGGAGAAGCTGCAGCGCGTGCGCGGCCTCATCCGCCAGTACGGAGACCACCTGGAGGTGTCCTCCAAGCTGGTGGAGTCGGCCATCCAGTCCATGGAGGAGCCGCAGATGGCGCTCTACCTCCAGGTGGGCCCTGGGGCGGGCACCTGGAGACCAAGGCTCTGGTCTTGTTTCTCACCCCCGACCTGCCCCAGGACCGTGGGCAAGCCGCCCCCGCCCCCAAGAGCCAGTAGTGGGGATCCCCCACCCCTAGCCCGCAAGTGAGTGCGGGACTCACCCTTCTACCCCTCCCTCTCTCCCCTGCAGCAGGCCAAGGAGCTGATCAATAAGTGAGTAGGCGGCGCGGGGAGGGGAAGCAAGGGGACTGGAAGTGGGGCGGGGGCGCCCACGGGCAGGGTGCATCACGCCGAGTCCCCGCGCCGCCGCAGGGTGGGGACGATGTCGAAGGTGGAGCTGGCCGGCCGGCCGGAGCCGGGCTACGAGAGCATGGAGCAGTTTTCCGTGAGCGTGGAGCACGTGGCCGAGATGCTGAGGACCATCGACTTCCGGCCCGGTGAGCCGGCGGGGCGGCGGGGCAGGGGGCGCGCCGCGCGGGGACCCCGTCTCTAGCGGCGGGTTCTCCCTCGGCGCAGGCGCTTCGGGAGAGGACGAGGACGACGAGGTGTTGTTGGACAGGGACGGCGGCGGCCCGGCGCCCGAGGAAGAGCGGACGGACGCGGCAGACGGTGAGTGTGGCCGAGGGGCACGGCGGCGGGGCCTGGGGACGCTCCCTCCTGCAGGCACGCGCCCCGCGGCACCCCCTCTTCTCGAGTGCCGCCCATCCCCAAACCGGAATGGGGTGCCTCCAGCACGCACGCAAAAGTGCAGCTTACCCCACTCGCCCTCCTTTGGGGCTTTGGGATACCACGCTGGATAACCGCGTGGCCGGGGAGGGGGTGCTCTGGGGCTCGGTTGCCCGGTGCCTCTGGACCACCTCCCACCGGGCTGCTTTTCCCTGCCAAGGCCTGCACTGACCCACCCGAGGAGCCCGTACGCCCGGCCTGGGACTCGCTGGGTTGGCCGCCGAGGAGTTTTGCAGAGACCACCGCGCCACACAGCTTGGTACCCCGCCCAGAAAGGGGGGTTCAGTAAAGGACTTCCACCTCCCAGCACTGCGTCTTCATTCACTGCCCGCTCTACGCGACCGCCTTCCCGCTTATCCTTCTCCGAACCTGGGATCCTTGGGGGCCCTAGAGGCATAAACCCTTACGGGGCATTCTTTGAGGGCAAGCGCGGACTTGGGGGCCCAGAGCCTGGGTGAGGGTCCAGGTGGTGCACTGTTGCTGGGGATTCTGACTGCCTGGAAGGATTGGGGACAAAGGGGCCACGGGAACCTGGCTAAAAGCCCGCCTTCAGCATCTCGTTCCCTCCCGCTGGGGTGGGAGGCCCCACAGTGCCCAGTTCCCACCCTGCCGTGGTTACCCGTGCCCCGCATGACAGAACCCAAAGGCTCTTTAGGGTCTTTATTAAAAAACAGTAACGCAGAGTGACCCAGGTATCCCGGGGCCACTCGATCCCCGCGCGGGACCCGGTCAGTTCAAGTGGCACACCTCTCCGCCCTGGGGGCGAGGAAGGTCAAGGTTCTCGAGACCCGGATCGAACGGTCACTTGCCCACCGAGTCGAATAGGATGCGGTTCTGCTCGGCGCGCTCCCGCTGACTCTGAGTCCGCGCCAGCTCCAGCAGGGTCCGCAGCAGGTGAAAGGTGAGGTCAATGGACAGCGGGGGGTCGTCCCTTCGGGGCCGCTCTTCTGTGGTCCGAGGTCCCCATCTGCCTGGCCCGGGGCTCCTCGGGAAGCGCTCCGCCAGCAGCAAGAGCAGCGCGCCCGCCTCGCCGCTCTGGCCCGGGCTCCAGTGCAGACTTGCTTCCCGGACCCCGGCCGCCTCCCGGCTCCAGCCGGGCTGCAGCCGTGCCAGGAGCAGCAACGCCACCAGCAGCGCCACGCGTCCCGCCAGCCTCATGGTGCCGCTGGCCCTGGACACACAGGGGCAGCTCAGGGTGGCCGCCGCTGAGGGCTCCATTCGCCTTCCACACCCCAGTGGGCGGGGGGCCCCGCTAGGCCCCTCGGGCTGCTGCCCAGGGCCTACCACCTCCCCTCCAGCCCTCTCCACAGCCCCGGCCTGTCCCACCCTCCCTCCCTCCCGGTGGTGGATGAGCTGAGCTGAGCGCAGTCGGGTGCGGAGCCAGCCACTCACAGGTTGCTGCCGCGCGTTTGCACAATGCAAGCCGAAGCTCCAGCCTCTGTCCCTCGGGGCGTGGTCTGAGCACCTTGGGAGAACGGGGTCTGTCCCCGGACCGCCGCCAGCCTTTTATAGTGCCAGGACAGCTCTGACTGACGTCAGTGAAGAACATGCACTGATTGTAGAAATGACAGCCGCAGCTTGAACAGTCTCGGCAGCGACTGGGTCCGACCCCAAACTGGAGGTCTGGCTGCTCTAGCCCTTGACAGGGCTGTGCTGACTCGTCCTCTCTCCTCTAGCAGGAACCTGAAGCACTGGCAGTAGTGTCCAGTGTGGCTCCGGCTCAAGCTGTCCCTACTCCCAGATGTTTCACAAAGGCGACAATAGTATGCTGACACTCAGCAACTGCTGTGGGACCAGCCAGAGGGAGCTGGGGCACCAGTCTGCAAGATTCTTGATCTTTCTTCCAGTACCAGAATCGAAATTCCGGGCAGCTTTGCCTAAGGCACCATGGTGGAGGGTCTCAGGAAACAAACTAAAATGCACACAATTGGGGGGAGAGGGCACCCCACCCAGCCCACCTGATTTTGAGTTTGTCCAAAGTGGTAACAGCGCCAGGTTTCATTTTATTCGTGGGAACCCAAACAGCAGTGTCAGATACATCTGACCTTCCAGATGAGCGCTCTAGGGAGAAGCCAGTAAGGAAACTTCCATTCAAATCCCTCCTTTGCCACTAGAGCAGCTCCTGATGTGACAGGTCCGTGGGAGTCCCAGTGTCCACATTTGAAAAAGACTGGACTTGGTGATGGCTGGCTTCTTTCAGCTCCAGAAATTCTGGCTCCCCTGCCAGTTTCCTGACTAGCTTCACTCATCGACTCTGTAGGACCCAGGGTGCAGACATGGTAACCTTAACAGGGCTGGAGAGGTCCCCAAAGAGCTACACTAGGGCTGGGTAGGCAAAGTGGGGAGGCATGGCATTTGCTAAGATGTGGGTGTAGAGGTGACCAGGTCAAGAGAGTTAAATGCTTCTGGAGTGGCTATTCTGTGGTGGGCATATAAGGCTCGTCTCAAGGTTTCTGTGATTCCCAAAGGAGTCCGTTCATGTTTTAAAGTGGAATGGGCCATTTCGCAGTCCTAACCCCACTGAGTTCTGACCAGCAGCCCAACTCCAGGAAGCTGTCTTGGAGGCAGTCTGACCCACGGCAGGGCCACACTGCATCATCAGGCAGAAACGATGGCTCAAGGCTGGCTTAGAGCTGATGTGCCTTCCAGGACAGGTAGGAGTTCCAGATGACAGCCACACACTGGACAACAGCCAACCTAAGGAACAGGAATGGCTTCGTGGAGTAAGGAAAGAAAGAGGAAGAAGCAAGGGGTATGGAGATGGACCTCCCTGCGTGTCCATTTCTTTCCTTCGGCATCTCAAAGCGAGACTGTGTGGTCAGAGCAGAGAATCACCAGCTCAGAACTTGGTCCTGCCTGCCTGACAACAGCCTCCAGGGGGCAACACCGTCAGCAAGTCTACTGCTGGGGCTGTGATTCCTATCTGTGCAGGGTCCTTCTAAATGCATGGGTATGTCTGTCTCCGACCAGCTGAGATTTCATTCTCCAGAAAGGAGCTACCAGCCACAGAAAGAGCTTCCCTTGCCCTTACTCTAGTTTCGGACGGTGTTGCCATGCTTAAGATTTGGTTCATAAACCTGTCTTCTGTTTGGTTAGGCTACTCATGTAAATGTGGACAATGGCCTCTCTGAATAAACAAACAAACAAACAAACACTCATAGTGATCCTAGAGGACAGGGAGAATGGTCCTTGTGTACTTTATAAGAATGTAACTCTTTACGAGAGTAGAAAGCCTTATCTTTCTCCTGCTTGTGGATTTGAACTGCTGACCCTGCATGTAGAAGCCCCACTTGTAACCACTATGCCACCAGGGTTCCTTATCCCCTCTGAATCGCTTCCTCTTTTTTCCTGTTCCAAAAGCCCCCTCAACTCCAACAATTCTAACTACTCACTTGTAGTTCTATTCTTGGGGTGGGGGTGGGGGGGAGGAGGAAAGTATATGGAAACTAGTTTTCTTATTGAATTATACTTTGCAGTGGAGGAACCTGACCAAGTGCCCACTTGGCTTTGGGGTCTGCCTTTCTAGCCTAGGCTGCAGCAGCCCAGGTGCTGTCCCTGACACTGTGCCATTAAAGGTGGAGAGCTCAGGTGAGAAGGACACGGGGGCGGTGGCACCAGGAGCCTCCCCGAGGCTCTGATCAGGGCAGTGTGTTCCGGGCTGGGTGTGTGGGGTGTGAAACAGCTCAGGTAGAGATGGAACAATTCTCAATTGTCCATCATATGAATCTTCTTGAAGGGTAGGGAAAGATTTGTCCTACCTGTAATGAAGGGGGACCAGGTAGAAGTTGGCTAACTGTACAGCAGGCCAGAGCTGCAAGAGAGAGAAGGTAAAGAAAGGTTTGACCCCCAGACTCGTTGTCTTACATAACCTCACCCCCACTTTCCACACACGAGGAAATGGTGAACCACTGGGTGAGAGCGTCCCTGAGCAGTGTCTGCCCTGGGCATGAGAGAGGACTCCAGACGGAGGGATTCCCTAGGTCAAAAGCACCCCAATCTCTGAACCAATAGATGGGGACACAGGGAAGCCGGAATGCAGGCTGTGGAGGCAAAGGCTCTTACGTAGTAGTTGGTGATGAGGGCATCAGAGTAATCCTGAGAAGACAGAGAGAACAGATGAACCCTTCCACCTCCAAGCAGCTCCCACCTCCCAGTCAATATCAGGCAGTAAGCCCAATAGTAACCCGCGCCCCACCCTCCCTCCTCCCTGCACTTCCACCCTTCGCATCCCATTCCACTAGCCTCCTGCCTCTGACACTGCCGCCCTGGCAGCCTTCCCCACACCTGCCCAGCTCACCCGCTGCAGCTTAGCCCAGTTGTCCCGGGTGGAGAGCCCATTGAGTGTCCCTACCAGTGGGAGGAAACAGCCTAGAAAGCATGGGGCAAAGCCCCCCTAGGGGAGACAAAGTAAAGCTCTGTGAGTGTGGGCCTCAAACAAAGCTCTCCGCCTCCCTCCCTTCCCCCAGCACCGCTCGCCCTTCTCGGCTCCCTCTGCCTTCTGCTCGCCTGGTCCAGAAGCATCTTCTTCAGTGCGTCCACCTTGGTGGTACCCGGGAGGAGTCGATCCAAAACCTTGTACCAGCCTCCCACGACAGGGGCCTGAAAGCAAGCCCCAGGGCGGGGTGGGGGGTGCGGAGACGGTAAGGAGACTGCCCGAACTTTGAAGTCACCCAGATCCCTACACCCCCCGCCCCCACCCAACACACACAGGTTAGAAACCAGGTCCCAGGGGAGGCAGAGCCCCCGGACAAAGAGGAAGAAAGGTGGCACAGTAGGGAAAGAGACAACCAAGGCCACTGTCCAGCCCTGTTGCGGCCAGAACTTACCACAAAGCCACAGCCCAGAGACACCATGGTCAAGGTCCGGCGGGTCTGGTGTTCCCGCAGACCCCGCCTCTCCACCAGCTGCTGTGAGATGGCATCACCCAAGCCCATCAGGGACCCTGTGCAAGGCACACAGGTTGTCAGGACCCATCTCCTGAGGATGGAAGTGTTTCCTACCAGTTTCCTCCGGGTGGCTGGGCCAGGCCAGGCCAGGAAGGAAGCCAGTCTGCTGGCTCCCTGAGGGTCTTGTGATCTGCATTCTGAGCCCCCAGGGCTGAATTCTGGGGGCAAATGGTCAGTCCTTTCCTGCTGCTCCAAGGGCTAAGGGGAGGGGAGGGGCCCAGGCACCTCCTGTGGGCTCTGCAAGCAAAAGGAGTCGGAAAGAGAAGCCAAGGTCGACGTTCATAATTAGGAAGGGCCTTCTGGATGGTTTCATCCAAACCTTATGTACAGGTGTGGGCACAGCAGTCACACTACAAGCAGCCCGAGCCAGACACCCACACGCAGAAACCACTGTGGGAAGTCCCTCCTCGGGTGTCTTAGCCTGATGGTTTCCAACAAACACACGTTTATAAGGCTTC